TAGCCTGGAGAGAATCCTTCCAGTTTGACATGTACTGCATGTGTATGGAGTCTCACCTGTACGTCAGACCCTGAGCTAGGGGGAGGGGCAGGATTCCACTGTAGAGTTGAACAGGATCTCCCTTCCTAGAGCGGCAGTTGGATGTGAGAGAGAACAAGTCATAAAGGATCACTTAGTCCTCAGAGGTGTCAAGAGCTTTCCAAGGAGGGTGAGCTGTGGGGTATGGGAGCACAGAGCGGGGAGGGACCATCTTTGAATGCCTGACTACCCAGAGAGGGACCTTTTGAACTGGGCCTTGAAGGATGTTTATGAGTCTGCTTTTCGCAGACTTAGAGTTCTTCTGGGGAACTTGGTATGGCAGCAACAGGTTTCTTTGGGGCAGCAGCCGGAGATGGAGGCAAGACCAGACCACACAAGGCCAGGTAAATTTGCTGAGGAGCTGGACAGAGGCTTCTAGCTGGTGACAGGATCGGGTTGCACTTGAGAATGGTCTGTAATTCTGTGGACCGAAGAGAGGCAGGCTGGAGGGAAGATCATTGGTCTGAACTGGTACAGTGGTGGCTGGGGAGGAAGGTTGAGATTCAACAGCCTCTTTGGAGTTACTCTCTGGGCCATGATGACACCTTTCTTGGCAAGGGGAGGACAGGGAAGAAGGAGTTACAGAAAGGGGCATGCGGGCACCCAGGGCGCAAGGAAGGACGCAGGAGATGGCTTCTGTTCTCAGTTCCCACCATCCCCTTTGTCTGCTTGCTTTCTGAGGGAACTCGTGTTCTGGTTTCTGCATTAGGTATCTGTAGCTGTGTAATAAATGACCCCAAAGCTTATCGGTTTAAAATGAATACAAAAATATGGCCTCACAAGTTTCTCAGAGTCAGGGATTCGTGAGGGACCTACCTGGGTGGTTTGGACCCTGGAAAGTTGCAGTCAAGATGTCAGCTGGGGTGCAGATACCTGAGGGCCTGACTGGGGCTGGGGGATTCACTTCTACGGGGACGCCGTCATAAGCCAGCCACGTTGGCCCTGGCTGGTGACAGGAGGCCTCCACTGTTCACCACATGGCCGCTTGAGTGTCCTCATGATGTAATTGGCTTCCTCCAGAGTGAGTGATCCAGGAGACCAAGGCTGAAGCTCACAGGGACAACCTCTGCTGACAACCTCAGAAGTCACACATCATCATTTCTCCCCTATCTGAATGGGTACACAACCAGCCCTATTCCTCATGGGAGGGGACTGCAGATGCGTGTGCATACCAGGAGGCAAGAACACTGGGCCACCTGGAGGCTGGCTGCCACAGTTCCCCTTTCGGTAACATTTGCATGTGTCACTGAGCTGGGAAGTGAGAAGCCAGCAGATTGGCAGGGCCAAGTTTCCAACTGCAGCAGGAGGATGCCCATTGGAGCAGGAAATACTGCCCCCCCCCCCCCCCGAAGAGAAGCCCTAGAGGTGACTAAGATGAAAAGGCATCATCCCTAGAGGGGCCCAGGGCAAGAGAGTCTCCTGGGGAACTGAGGACAGGTTCCTCCTCCTCCGCCTCTTCCTCCTCCTCCTCCTATTCCTCCTCCTTCTCCTCTTCCTCCATTTCCTCTTTCTCCTTCTCTTCCTCCTCCTCCTCTTCTTCTCCTTCTACTCTTCCTCCTCCTTCTTCTCCTTATATATTTTTATTAATTTCAGGGAGGGAGAGAGAATCATTGATCGGCTGCCTCCTGCATGCTCCACACTGGGGAATGAGTCTGTAACCTGGGCGTGTGCCTTGACTGGAAATTGAACCGTGACCTTCCGGTTCATAGGTCAATGCTCAATCACTGAGCTACTCCAGTCAAGTCTGAAAGTGTAAAAACCTGTCCTCCAGGGCTTGGCCACACCTGCCACTAGAGTTAAGTTTACTGAGCTTCTGTCTTCTGGGCAGGGGCCAGGGGGAGGTCTTTCTCACTCCTCACTTTCGAGAAGAAGTTCTGCATTCCAGCACCCAGGGAGCACTCAGCCCATTGTACCGCAACTGCCCGATGATTTCTCCATCTGCCCTTGAATGAAGGGCACTTGTTGAGTGTCTGCCCACTGTGTGACAGGCAGGGCTGCCCTGTATGGTCACATAGGCCATTCAATGCCAAAGGCATCTACCCAAGAGAGCTCTTGGACTCAGCCCATGCTTTGCTCACCAAGCCATGAACCCAGGTACAAAGCTGGGTCCCAATGCAGAATAAGCACCTTCTCGCTGTCCCCACAAGGACGCTGTACTCAGCTGTGTATCCCACCAGAGGGTGGGACTTTCTCTCATTTGCACAAAGATGCTGTGTAGTGCTGTGGGCCCAGGGCAGACAGAGTTCTAGGTACCAGGATTCGGTGTGAGAGAGACAGGCATGCTCCTGCCCTCATGAGTCTAGTGTGGGGAGATACACTATACCTACGTGGATGGAAATTACCCAGATGACTTCAGATTGTGAGCTGTGCCAAGGAACAAAGGATTAGGGTGCCAGGGAACAAAGGGTTAGGGTGCTGCTGATAAAGAATAATGGGGAGGTCTCCTGTCACTTGGGGGGTCTGGGACAGCCTCTCTGAGCAGATGGCTTTCAGGGGCTTCCAGCAGCAGAAGGCTGTGGCTTGGTGAACAGTGGGGAGCTGGACTGAGGGAGAGCATTCCAGGCAGCTGGAACAGCACGTACTGAGGCCCTGAGGTAGACGCGAGCTTAGTGCCCTGGAAGTAAGTGTCAGAAGACGCTGGAGGGAGATGGAGGCCTGGCTCCCCCTGTGCTCCTTGTGGCTGAACTGGGGTGGGGAGCCCAGAGCGGACACTGAGGGGTGCCTCTGTGGTTGAGTATAAGCTGTTGGGGGGGAGGTTGAGGCTCAGGAACGAAGGGTGGCGGTGGGCATGATTCAGAGGGGGGCACACGAACTCAGGGCAGCGCTGCCGTCAGGTCCCACTCAGCCAGCATCTAAGCCTCTGCTGCAGCGGCTCTCCACGCGTGGGTCCCTGCACAGGGGCCGCCTGAGACGTCCTGCATGTCAGATATTTACGTTATGGTTCATTTACAGCAGCATGATTGCAGTTATGACGTGGCAGCAAAAGCAATGCCATGGTTGGGGGCCACCACACCATGAGGAGCTGTACGAAAGGGTCGCGGCATCAGGAAGGCTGAGAACCACCGCCCTGCTGAGTGCCAGGCTGTCCTGTGGGTGTGCGTGTCCCTTAGAGATGGATCCTTCCCGTGAAGGAGCCCGCGTTCCAGGAGGAAAGGTGGTGGCGGGAGGTGTGCCCTCTGTGCCGATACCTATGGGAAGGAGGGCCCACACTTACCCTGGGAGGCCTGGGGCTTGCTCAGAGGAGGGTGGGGAAAGGTTCCTCTGGCCGGAGGCAGTGGCGGGTGGGGGACCGGCCTGGCTGGGAGAGTCCAAGCTCAGGCCACATGGCCTGAGGCTCTCCATTCCACATTCCAGGGCCCGAAGAGAAGGCGCAGAGGGTGGGGCTGCTGCTGTCAGAGTGGAAACACCTTCTGGAGGGGAGCTGCCACCTGGGGCAGTGGGGGAGGGGAAGAGAGAGACTGAGAAGCTGGCCAGATGGGCATGACTTGACTTGGGTGGCCAGGGCGGCTCTGTCCTGACGTGGCCGGGGTGGAGGAGACTCTGAGCTTGGCTGGCTGTGGGGTCAGGAAAGCCTTGCTCAGCACTGGCTGAGTCACATGCCTGAGCGGGGGCCAGGACTAGGCTCTGGGAGAACGTGGTCCCAGGGTAGGGCCCAGGGCCAAGGTCACAGCCCAGTCTCCTCCATCCCCTGTGCCTCCCAGCTCTTCCCCACCCTCACCCTCACAGACAAACCAGAAGCCTGAATTTGGGGAGTCCTAGAACCTCTGTGGGTAGCTCTGGGCCTTCGCCTGTGCCTCAGTCTCTCCTTCTGCGCACTGCTGAGAATCAGGGGGGGAGGCCTGGACCGCTGGCTGCGGCCAGGGGCTGTGGCTGTCCAGGATTTGGAGTCAGGCAGCTCTCCTGCCTTCCCCTCGCCAGTGTCCCCCACCCACCTGCCTCCGCAGGCACTGGGCAGCCGATAAGGCCACGTCAGCACAGAAGCTCCCCTCAGGACTCTGCACCCTGTCTGTGGGACCTGGTGGGAGGGGACCCCCAAGCCCCTGCGTGGAGGGCCCTGGGGGTGGGGCGGGCAGGGCAGGGACATTCCAGGCTGAGGGAACCCCTGAGGAAATTTGACTCCAGAATCTGGTAGTAGGAGGGAGGAGCAAGTCATGTGTGTGTGTGTGTGTGTGTGTGTGTGTGTTTCAAGTCATGCTGGGTGAGCATCTGTCCACATGTCTGTCCGACTGCTGCACTCGGAGGGTCTGCTATGAAATTGTGTGTGTGTCAGACACACTGCGCCCTCCTCCCCCAGGCAGAGGCTGGGCACTGCGTGTGTGAGGCTGTATGCGTGTGTACGGCTGTATGTGTGTGTATGGCTGTGTGTGCCGGTATGGCTGTGTGTGTGGTGTAGTACGGTGTATGTGGTTATGAGGGAGTGTGTATGGCGGTGACTGTGTGCGTATGTGTGCACGGGCCCTCTTCTGCACACGGACTGGGTCAGTGTGCCTCTCTGGGGTGAGTGAGTGTGAGGGCCCGGGTGCCCCTGGGTGTGTGTAAGGGGAGAAGCCCCTCTTACTCCTTGGCGCGGGTGCTGCCTGAGAACCGGCCACCTCTGGCCCCAGCCAGGATCCAGCAGGGGACTGGGTGCCCTCCCCTCCCTCCCCCTGCTCCTCCTATCTTCCCACGCCCTGGCCCGGGGCAGGCTCTGCCCAGCCCGGCCGCAGTCCTGGTTCCCGCCCGCAGGCCGGGGAGCTGGGCCGCGGCCCCCTCCTCCTGCGCCCCTCCCTCCCTCCCTCCTTCCATCTCTCCCTCCTTCTCTCCTTCCCTCCCTCCCTCCCTCCCTCCCTCGGAGCGCGATCCGGCGGGTGGGAGGAGATTGCGCCGGAGTTTCCATTTCATACCTCGCGGCTAAACTTTCTTTCTGTGTCTCGCCCTCGCAGTCTGCAGCTTCTCCTGTCATCGGAAATGCCAGGCCAAGGTAAGGGCCCGGCCCGCGGGGCAGGGGCGGCGGGCCGGGGAGGGCTCCCGGGCTGGGGAGGGCTCCGGGGGAGGGGGCTCCGGGCGCCCCTTCCTCCTCCCTTTGTTTATGCAAAGCTGGGGCGGGCGCGGGTTCAGGTCAAGGTGAAGGCGGCGGCCTGGGCGGGGGCCGGGCCGGCGGGATGGGGTGGGGGCGCGGCTCCGGGCTCTGGCTCCGGAGGGGCGGGTGCGGACGGGCCGGGGAGAGGGGCCTTCGGAGGCGATTCTCCCGGTTCCCCGGAGGGTGGGGGCGCCGAGGGGGAGGGGAGGGGAGCGTTTCATGCTGCTCTGGCGCGGGCCCTGGTGGTCTGATTCGGCCGCTCAGGGAAACGCGGGAGGGGGTCGCAGTCACCAAAGGGAGAGGGACGGGAGGGGAGGACGAGGTGGGACAGGGCTGGAGGTCAAGGTCGCCCTGTTCCTGGAACCTCCTGAAGCACCATCCTCCTCTCTTGATGGACCGGGTCCCACTCTGGTCCTCAGTTTCCCCACCAGTGCTTCCTGGCTGATCTTGGTGGGAGAGGAAAAGAAGGCCAGAGGAATGGGTGGGTCCTGGGGGCCGGTCTGGCTGGACCCCGGCTGCCACCTCTCAGGCCGGGACAGAGGAGTGACAGAGCAGCTGGTGGTGGCTTCGTGGAGGAACTTCCTTCCCCAATAATCCGTCCCAATTCCTCCCAGTCCATCCCAATCCCTCCCAGTCCCTCCCAATCCATCCCAATCCATCCGAGTCCATCCCAATCCCTCCCAGTCCATCCCAATCCCTCCCAGTCCATCCCAATCCCTCCCAGTCCATCCCAATCCATCCCAATCCTTCTGCGCCCGGGAGGTGCAGGTGTTTGGCCTTCACCTTTCAGATGCAGGCAGTCTCTGCCCTCTCCCTAGTATTGCTTTTCTCTCCTTTCTTATTAGCTGGGTGACTTTGGGCAAGACATGTAACCTCTGTGAGCCTGTTTCATCCTCAAAGACACAGGAATAAGAAAAGGTTATTATTCGGATGAGACGGGACAATGTGTGTGAAGTGCCCTGACACAGGGGAGGTGCTCAGGAACGGAGCAGTGGATGATTATCCATGGTTAGCTCCGAGGGCCCGGTGTTGCCATGGAGAAGGGTGCTGATGGAGCAGGGAGGCTGCGTGGGAACCCACCTCCTCCTGGGGACCTGCTGGGGCATCTCCCCGGCTGTACGCTCCAGGCTGGAGTGTTCTCCTAGCAGAGGGGCACAGGGCCTGGCTCACAGGGGCACCTCTGTACGGTTCCTGCCCCTCGCTTGTCTTCCGCCTTTCTGACTCCCTCCGCTTTCGCTTCCTACGGTGGGGGACTGAGTTACTGCTTCTCTCTCCATACCCCTCCTTGATCTCCTCATCCGGAGCCGAGATTTTCCACTCTTCCTCCCAGAACCTCCCGAATTCTCCCCAGTCGACCTCCTCCCTACTGTTCTTCCTGCACTTGTTTCTCTTTATTATTTATTATTATTATTATTATCATTATTATTTGTTATTTTTTTTTTTTTACTAAGAGAGGAAGGGAAAGGGAAAGAGAGATGGAAATATTGATTAGAGAGAGACATTGATGGGCTATCTCCCTCACACCCCCTACTGGGGACAGAGCCTACAACCTGGGCATGTGCTCGGACCGGGGATCGAACCCGAGTTGTCCTAGTTCTGTGGTCGGCAAACTGTGGTTCTTTGGCCCCTTGAGTGTGGCTCTTCCACAAAACACCACGGCCTGGGCAAGTCTATTTTGAAGAAGTGGCGTTAGAAGAAGTTTAAGTTTAAAAAATGTGGCTCTTAAAAGAAATTTCAATTGTTGTACTGTTGATATTTGGCTCTGTGGACTGATGAGTTTGCCGATCACTGGCCTAGTTCATGGGTCGATGCTCAACCACTGAGCCACACCAGCTGGGCAGTACTTGTTTCTCTAACTGACATCTTGTACAGCGCCTTGACCTTAGAAAGCACTTCAAGGCATTATCTGATTTCATTCTTTTAATTCCGCCAGAGCATGCAACAGGCCAAAAGACCCAAAGCAAGCCGAGGCACCCAAAGGTTGAACGACTTTCCCAAGGCACCGTAGTGTAATTCCTCAGTCACATCTGTCCCGGGCCTTGCCCTTTATTCTAATTACTCCCAGTGGGGGCCCAGAGACCCGGAGAGGTGTGACAGAGTTAGCCTCTTGTTGCACAGTCCCCTCCTGTTGGAGACAGAGGGGTGCTAAGGGTGACTTCTGGGTGGGGGTATGGCCTGCCTAGCAATTCTGGCACACGCTGGGGCCTCAGGGTACACCAGGATACACCACTGCTCTGCCCAGCCAATGCCAACCAGAGGAGCGAGGTGGACTGGCAGGGCAGGGGCTGGACAGACAGATGGGGGTTTGTTATAGGATTTTCCTCGACAGCAAAGGGGACCCACTGGTGCTGTGAGCCCCTCCCAGCTGGCAAGTCTCCCCATAAACCACTGGCCTGCCTTTTCCTTTTGCTGAGGAGGGTGAGGTGAGCCTCAGAGCACTCACAGAGCTCTGTCCTCTGGGTGTTAGAGCCATTTGGAAACCCCCCCCCCCCCCCCCCCCCCCCGTCCCTGAGACAGGAGTAAGCAAATGTTTACGGAGACACTGTTGTAGGTGAACAGGATGGATAAAGCCTTTGCCCTCGTGGGACTGACATTCTAACAGGGGAGGCAGGCAGCACATAGGCAGACAGATCCCATGGGGAATGAGTTAGGGCAGTGGGCTAGAGAGGGCTCAGGCTTAGGTGGCCCAGGAAAGCTCAGAGGAAGTATTGAGCAAGATGGAACCCAACTGATGTTACATGGTGATCTGAGAGATGAAAAGAGCACGTGCAAAGGCCCCGAGGTGCAATGAGCTTGTCAGGCTTGAAAGAAGATGTGTGGTGGAGACCAGTGAGCCCTGGAGGGGTTTTGAGCGTGAGCGACATGATCTGAAGATCTTCCCTATAAGGAGGCCACTCTGGCCTTGGGCAGACACTGGGAGATGGGCCAAGAAGCCACGGATGCTGCCCAGGAGAGAGGAGCTGGTGGCTTAGTGCACGGTGCTCACAGGAGAGATGGTGAGAAGAGACAGGTCTGGGATGCCTTCTTGGGCAGAGCCCAGAGCCTGGCTGATGGATGGGAGGTTGGGTGTGAGAAAGGGAATGGGCTCAAGGATCTCTCTCAGGTTTTTGGCCAGAATAACCGGGTGCACGTGGTTCCATTTACCGTACTAAGATGGATGAAGTGTGTGAGAAGTTCCTAGGAAGGAGGCGCCAGGATTTCTGCTTTGCTTGGTCTCTCATTTTGCAGTTCTTCTCCGGCGCACTGGGGATTTGTTGCTGAGGCTGGTCCTCTCCTGACCTCGCAAGTTCAGCCCTCTCTGGCCACCGCTCCGGTGAATGGCTTATTCTGGATGCTTTCCTATGCCACCTTGTGGAACAGGGGCGGGGAGCCTTTTGGGTATTTATAACATCATCCTTGGACCAAAGGCCCTTTGGATATTTATAGCACCATTCTTGGGCCATAAAATGAGCCTTCTCTATTTGGTCAGACATTTGATTAACTCACCCCGAATGCCTTGACAGGGCCAGACCAAGTGATCTTGCGGGCCTGGTATAGCCCGCGGGCTGGACGTTCCCCACCTGTTGTAGACTATTCCTACATCCCGAACCCATGGCTTGGAGAGGGGCTGGATTAATTATATACAGCAATGCAATGCAACGAAGTATCCTGGAAGTAGTAACTTAAAGCGCCAACTAATGTTTATTATCTCATGCGGTTTCGGTGGGGCAGAAACTGGAAGCAGCTTAGCTGGAGGCTTTGGCCTGGCATCTCATGCAGTAGCAGTCGAGATGCCAGCTGGCCTGCTGTTCTTTGAAGGCCTGACTGGGGCTGGAGAATCTATCTTCAAGGTGATTTATCCATGTGCCAGCAAGTGAGGCTGGCTCTTGCAGGGGGAGAGGGGCATGTGTGTCTCAGCTACTTGCCACACAGACCTCCCCACAGGGCTGCTTGAGTGTCTTCACAACATGGCGGCCGGCGTCTTTGGAGTGGTGAATCAAGAAAGAGCGAGTTGGAAGCCAGATAGCTTATTTCCTTGCCTTGGAAGAAAAACACTGTAATTTCTTTAGTATCCGATTGGTTATACAGGCCATGCCCATTGAGGGGCTTATATAAGGACACACATACCTGGAGGCAAGAGTCAATGGTGCCATCGTAGAAGCTGTCAGCCACGGATGTCCAGAGAGAGGGCGAGGCTGACCTGGCTCCTGAGAGGCCATGGGGGTGGGGTAGGGATCAGACATACCTGGGGTTTGAACTCTACCCCTGCTGCCTCCAGCCAGGTGAGCTGGATGGTAGAGGATTAAATGCACATCTGCACACAGTAGGCACCTTTCTCCTCTTTTGGAACCACAAGCGAGACTGGGGAGGAGCCTGGATAGTCTGTGCCGGTTTCTCGCCCCTGGGACCTGCCGGAGAGAAAATGCTCAGTGGTGATGGAGGAGGGCCCAGTGCTCAGCTCAGAGTGGGTGTTACATACGTGTTTATTGAGCAATAAGGGTGGAAAGATGTGTTGCATCCTCAGTTTCTAGAATAGTGCCTGGTCCATAGTAGGGGTTCCAATGAAGGAGTATAAGAGGGTAGAATAAAGGAATGTTGAGAAATGAGAGGTTTTACTTAGGGAGAGGGAGGGGGAAGCAGATGAGAGCAGGAGAGAGAAGGAACAGCAAACTCACTTTTTAATTCCCTTCCACAAAGCCCTCCCATCTCCGTACACAGAAATGCTCCAAACAGTAATTCTAGTCATTTACCTTTTCTAGTTGGGGTATAGCTCACATACTGTCAAGCACACGAATTGATCAGTTGGCACATGTACACGAACCAGATCAGGATCTAGAACATTCCTGTATCCAGAAGGAGCCCATACGCTCCCCTCCAAGCCAATATCCCCCCGAAGGTAATTGTCATTCTTACTTGTAACA